CTTGTTGGGCTATATGTAGTGTTTGAAGTCTGCCATGTCTTCAAAGCCATTTACATTGAGCTGTATATATCACGTGTGAGGTCTAACGAACATGAAATCACGCTGAGCAGTTGAGGTGGCTCCTCTGTCATCCCTCCCCACCCCCAAAGCCTTGTAACACATTCACGCGATGCACTGCTCCTTTGTCTCGTACAGGTCCTAATATCCGAAGGTTTGGGAAGGTATGCAAGGGACCCAAAATTTGTATCGGCCACAAAACATGAAATCGCCGATGCCTGTGACCTAACCATCGACGAGATGGAGAGTGCAGCCAGCAACCTGCTCAATGGGACCGTACATCCCCGAGCCAACGGGGGTGTGGGCCCGGTCTCACACCGGCAGGACTATGAGCTCCAGGACTTCGGGCCAGGCTACAGCGATGAAGAGCCTGACCCCGGAAGGGATGAGGAGGACCTGGCAGATGAAATGATATGTATCACCACCCTGTAGCCCCCAGGGAGGGGCGGACTGGCTCTGGCCTCAGGTGGGGCGCCTGAGGGCCAGGGAAAAAGTGCCTCGTAGTTAGGAAAGTTTAGGCACTAGTGTGGAGTCCATATTCAATTAGACTTTTGTACAAGTGATGTCATGCCTCAAGGAAGCCATAAACCTGGTGTAGGGAACAGCCGCGCACACGTGCCCAGCCCCAGCTGTCGGAAGCAGCAGGTCCAGCCCTCTTGGGGAGGGCCAGCGAGGAGGTCGGACAAGCCCAGCCCACTTGTCCGAAGTGCTCCCGAGGCACTCACCCACGCCCACCCACCTGCTGGCACGGTGGGGACGGTCAAAGGTGATGACGATCACCACACCTGTGTCATTACCTCAGCCATCAGTCTAGCATATCAGACATTCACTGGGCCCAGCATATCCATTTTTAAACCCTTTTCCCCCCAGTACACTGCTTCCTGGTTTCTGTTTAGCTGTTCTGAAACACAGTGTGTAAATCAGGACCCACCTACCAGCTGTCATCCTGAGAGGAGAGCAGGACCTTATCCACAAGGTTTGCTGTTACGTGACCCCAGTTTACGAGAGAGAACGTTGGTCAGTCGGTTTCTGACTGTCAGGTTAAGGGCAACTGTAAACTGGAATAATCATGCACTCGCAACCAGGTAAACTTAGATACGCTAGTTTGTTTAAAAATTATAGATTTACTGTACATGACTTGTAATATACTCTAATTTGTATTTGTAAAGAGATGGTCTATATTTTGTAATTATTGTACCGTATTTGAACTGCAGCAATATCTATGGGTCCTAATAATGGTAGTTCCCCACTGAAATCTAGAAATTATTAGCATTTTTACTCGGGCTGTACAGAAGTAGAAGAAATAGAGCCAATTCTCCTTTATCCAATGAAAACTCTTTGGGGGATAACATTTTAAGTTCAAAAGAACTTGACGCTATAGAGATTTTTCTAAAATATTTTGAGTCGCTGTAAATCTACCTTTACCCAAGATACACCAGATGACGATTTAGTCTTGGCTCTGGGCGAGTGCTAGGATTTGAGGGCAGGCCTCTGGTCCACCGTGGGTTGCAACTTTCATTTTACTGACCCTTCGACAAGTTCATTACAGAGTAGGTCGGGCTGTTAGTCTGACCCTGTGGCGGTCACGGGGTGGTTTCCTCAGCTGCCCTGACAAGGCTTTTTTGAAGTCTCTCCACCCTTGCTCCCTAAGGACAGCTGCCACTGCTTATCTTAAATAAGGAGTGGGGGGTGCGGGGGGGGGGCAAGGCGATGATCTGTGGGATGAGAAGGTCACAAGTGTCCACAAATCGTGTTGTTGCCTTTTTTTACAAAACATTGCTGTACTGTGTGTTCTCTCTGAGGGCTTTTATATGCAACTGAATGAGGGCTGAAGTTTTCATTAGAACGTACTCACAGCCTCACTGTACTTCCTGATGAAAACCCACTTCTGGACCATTAGACCCATCCAGGCTTCCTTTTGTTTTCAAAGAATCATGCCGGCTTTGTGGACTTGCCTTGGCAGGGAGTCCCTGCAGTCAAAAATACAGGTAGCAGTTTTTGGTTCAAAATTTTTAAATATTACCTACACGACCTGTTAACGTTTTGGGTTTTGGGTTTTTTTTTTTTTTTTTTTTTTTTTGTAAATAATGACACTTTGTTATGAACACCTTACAAACCTCTTCTTAAGACATTCTTACTCCAGATCCAGGCAAAAACACTTCCAGGTTTGTAAATGACTCTTTCCTGACATAATTTTTTTTTTATTAAAATGCAAAATGTTCTTCAGAACAAAACTGTGTAATAATTTTATTGTGTTAGGGAGCTCTCCTTGCAAAGATCTGGCGCCGGCGGGTGCTCTAGCGCTGGAGGTTCTGTGACTGTGTAACTCTGTCTTACCCTCCTGGCTGGCTCCTTAATGCAGAAGGTAACACCAGCTGCAGAGAGCAGTCTCTCCTAAAGGGCTAACCCCCCTGACCCCGTCATCTCTGCTGGCACTGTTCTTCCTGTGACTTAGCAGCCCAAACTGCCCTCCCAGGATGGGGTTTTCTGGTGCAGGCCACAATCTTTCCCAGTCAGGACTTAAAAACTGGCATTTTTATAGGCTGTACTGCTCTTTACAGGTCTGCTTTAAGCCTAGTTCCCATCAACCATTAAATTGTTCTTGGTACAAAAAAAAAAATTGAAGTTGTAGAGGATGTGGTAGTGTTTTTTCCTTTGCTTTAGGAAAGTTTTAAGATTAAATGTCTCTCCTTTTGGGGCCCCCTCCCATTCCATAAAAATAGTACATTTGGTTTCTTGTGTTTTTCAGAATATCACAAATAGATACGGCTGCTCTGACTTAACTAACAATGAGCAGGATCCTCGTTAAGGGTCCTCTCTCTGGTTTCTATCTTGGCAGCCTGGCCAGATGGGGCTATTCCGTTTCGGAGTCTGCCCAAGGCTAGGATGCTTCTCGGTACCCAGGGTACACAGTGTGGGCTTTAGCTGCCTTACTGCCGACCCCACACTTATAAAGGGAACCAGGGCAGTTTATTTCATGTTATATTTTTCGGGCCTTCAGCGTCTTTGCCAACTGCTTGTCTTCCTACAAAGGTTTCTGATGTTATGGGCAGTAGGTTCTAAAAACTGGCCAGCTAACAGAGCTCCAGCTCCCACCCCGACTCAAAACAGACCCCAGCTAGGCTCTCGTATGTTGACAACGTTTTTATTTCTCCAAAATAATATTCCTTCTTTCCTGGGGACCTCAGAGGGCAGGTGAGAGGGGAGAATGGGGAGCAGGCCTGGGGCCCTTGCCTCCAACGGGGCAGCGCCAGCGAGAGTGGCCTCGCAGATACCCTGTGGGGACGGTGGCGGGAGAGGAAACGGGAGATGGCCCGGGTCGCGGAACGGGGCCAGTGGAGAAGGCGTGTGTTTTCCTCTAGGTTTTGTTTTTGTTTTCGAAGGAGAAGAGGATGTAGATATTAGATCTGATGTGAGGTTGGTAGAAACAGGAAATGGCCTTTGTGGGAAGAACAGGGTCTGGCTGGAGAGGAGACGCTCTTTGAATTTATGGAAATGAGGAGTCCCACAGTCTGGCTTCCAGGACCTGCCACTTCCCGGTCATGCTGCTGGCGAGCGGCTCCTGTTCCCTCTCGGTCTGTCCTCATTCTACCAGGAAGAGCCTTCTGCTGATGAAGCCGCTTGAACCCATTCTTCAAAGTAGCCCATGTATGCCCAGAGCCCGCTCAGGTATATACACAGCTTTCTGTTACACTTTCTTAACCATTTTTTGAAAAGTACATTCTTCCGTTTGTTAGGTATCCTGGGCTCTTTGCTAAGGGGGTGCCTTTCAGGCCCGAGTGCGTGTGGCTCAGCCTCCCTAAACCAATGGGCACTTTCCTCCCCTCTCTGGCCTCCTCAGCCAACAGCCCTCCTTCTGAGGCCAAAGGTTCCCTCACAGCAACGGCACTTTGAGACAGTCCGCAGCTGTGACACGGGCCACTGTTCCGCTCCGCCAGACGCTGCATGCTCACCTGTCAAGCCAGGAGCTGCTTCAAAGCACATGATTCTGTCCTGTAGCTGAGCCCCAACTACACAGGGGTCCACCTTCACTTCTGTGGGGCCTGGATACAGAACACTCGCAGAGACTCCTCTTTATTTCTACATCCGGCTAAACTGTGTGATCACATGGGATGAGGCTCGGTGACCAAGGGTAGGAGAGGGGCCTAGATGCAATCCAACCCCTGCGGATCACGTACCTCCTCTCCCCACAGGCCGTTCTGCTTACCTGACCACACACACACACACACACACACACACACACACAGTAGAGGAGCAGCCACTGCCCCAGAGACCGAGGCCACCACAGGACGGAACGGCTACGTTGCCGGACTTACCCGCTCAAGGCAAGGTCAGCACGGTTACAGGCAGGCCTGGACCCCTCCACCCACCTAACTGGTTACTCACTGGCCCCAAGAACAGTGAAGTTGGTAGCTGCCTTCCTCTGCTCTTCCTCCATCCTTGCGGGTGGCTTCTAGGTGCTGAGGGTGACGGTTGGGGACCACAGCTGCCAGGGCACACGGGGAACCTCTCTAGGAGAAATCAATCTCTTGGCACATTTAGAACCTCCCTTGGGACAGAAAACCCAGCAAGATACAGGTAAGATTAAACCAGAGCCACTTAAAATTTGTCAAGGAAGCAGAGGTGTCATGGTTTTCTTCTTTCCATCTTCCTGGAAGGTCTTTCTCACAAATACAAGTTGTGGCTGTCTGGCCTCCAAACCACCTCGATCCACTCTGATCCTGGGGGGAAGCCTGGAACACCCCCATTTTCCTCCCCTCCTTGTTCTGGGTCTAGTACAGCCGCTTTCCATGGGACAATCCTTTTCTCCCCTGCTGTGTGGATGGTGATCTTGGAGATCTTCCAAAAAATCCATCCAAAACGCATTTAATTTTCATTACACCTTGTGAGAACAGTCTGGCTAAGGCATCTCCATTCAAAAAGAAGTTACTAGATTACATTACTGGATTATAGAATTTTAAAGATCAAAGAGCTGTTTTAAATGCTTCTGGTATCTGTTTCTCCCTCCTCCCCGGAAACTCAAATCTTTGCCAATTGATTTTTTTTCCTTCACTCAATTGCACTTTTACAGGATCAGGTACCTAGCGTGACCTGACCGCTTTTTCCATCAGCCTCGGCTCCATCCCGGTCAGTTCCTGTGGATGCCTGCGGAATACGAATCGGCCGGCCTTGTCTGCTGTGAGTCGCTTCCCCAGGGTGACAGGAAAGGGTCCTCTCAGGCTTGCTGCCTTGGCGTGGAGCAACGGTCTGGTCTGTAGGGTCTGCTCTGGGTTTCTAGGTTTCCCTGGTAACAGGAAAATCTTTTAAAATGCTAAATCATGAAACCTAGGGTAGTGAAGAGACTCTCTGGAAGCTTCTTTTGAACAAGGTCCAGAAATCTTCCCAGCGGGCTGTGTTTAGTAAGACCCAGAGCACTGGAGAGGTGGGCCCTCAGAGTGACCCAACAGGAAGTGGCATCGAGAAGCGCAAGGGAGGCCCGTGTTTGTCCCGGCAGGCAGCTTGCCGTCTGAATAGGGATGCTGGAGGCTTATGCACACCCCTCAGCTACAGCATGCAGCCTGAGACAGGGGATGCCCCCTACCCTGAGAACCCGGTATGGTCTAGCCAGCACCCAGCCTCTGGGCACAGCACCCTGCTCTGGGAGCAGCTCACCTTAATTAAGAGGGAGGTCTAGGAGAGAACCACGTCCCTCAAGTCCGACCAAGACCTGGACTATTGAGACAAGGCCCATGGCAGGAGTTAGCCATCCTCTTCCACTGGCCTGCCCCCTGGTCCCCTCTGCTGTCTCTTCAGGAGGCAGGGGGAGGGGCCCACAGGAAAATGCTGGGGAAAAGAACCCTGCTTCGTTGTTCTGATACCGATCTCCCACCCTACGAGATTACCCATTCTCAGCCATCGAATCCTAACATTCTAGACAGTTTCAGGCAGGGGCACTGAGGGCAGGGACTGTTCTGACCCTCTTGGCTTGTCAGGAGGCTTCTCAGGCAGTGACTGCCTCAGCGCTGGGTGGCCAGGCTCCCGGGCTTATAGACGGGGACGTCCTTGTCCCAGAGCGCAGGCTGCCCCTTGATGATGTCGGCTGCTTTCTCTGCGATCATGATGGTGGGGGCGTTAAGGTTGCCGCTGACCACACTGGGCATGATGGAGGCGTCGACCACCCTGAGGTTTTCCACTCCAAGCACCCTGGTCTGTGGGTCCACCACGGCAGTGGGGTCAGAGGGCTGGCCCATCTTACAGGTGCACGAGGGGTGGTAGGCGCTGTCCGCTTTCGCCCGCACAAATGCATCTATCTCTTTATCTGACTGCACGTGGCTTCCTGGCTGGAGCTCTTTCCCCCGGAACGGTTCCAGGGCTTTCTGGGCAAAAATTTCTCTGGTTAGCTTCACACACTGTCGGAAGTCCTTAATGTCGGTTTCTGTCGATGAGAAGAAATAGGGGAGGTGACTCCTTTTACCATGCTGGCTTTGCCAGCTGATTCTGAGCACAGACAGGCTCTGTAAGCTGCCTGAGGGGACCATAGTTCAGGGACACAGAGCCACCAGACTGCCTGTCACCTACTCACAGCCAGTTAGACTGTAACCAAGCAGCACCCTAGATGGACACAGCCTGCTCCTGCCAGTGTGGCTGTGAGCACACTACATACAGGTCATTACTGAGCAAGACCTGCCCAGTGGAGAGTACTTGGTTTTGCTGCTGGCAAAGAGGCAGGCCCAGGAATGTGATCTGCTTCTGGGCAGAGCTCAGAGTAACAAGAGCACAAGTCTCTCCTGCTGTGTAATAGGACATTCCACGGTTACTTCAAGGAACCCAGGGCACTACCTAGCAGCAGGTGCCAAGTTTATAGCCTTAGAACGAGGGAATGTGGAGGGTGATTGGTCTCAGAAAATGCATTCTGGGGTTAGGATTCAGAGACAAATGTAAACCCCATTCATTCACTGAACGAATGACCTGGCAAGCCCAGGCCCGGGGGGAGACAGAAGGGGTGGAGGATTGATTACCTGTTGACAAGTAGTTGGGTTGAATCACAGGGTGGTCCCGGGGGTTGGCACTTCTCAGTTTGAGCCAGCCCACACTGGTGCCCCGCATGGTCCCCACATGCACCTAGAAAAACGAGAGGAAGCTGTGACCTCCTTCAACCTCCCAACCCAGTAGCTTAAGCCCTGGGGTTTCCTGTGGGATAGGACTCCACATCCAAAGCCAGTTAAGAGCAGACACATTTTAGTATTTGTTTGCCTCTTACCCCAAGTGATCAAAAATCACCTCAATGAATCACTCCTGCTCCCTGGCTTTATACTTGATTGTCTTAAACTTTCAGGGGCTGGAAACCCCAGGGCCATTGGCCTCATTTGTCTATTTCTGGTGGTTTGAACCCCTTGAGCATCTGCCTTCAGCTAGGTGACGGCCTCCCCTTTCCATGAACTACGTGGACCGCCTCATGAAGACTGCAGCCTCCTCCTCTCCCCTCACCACTTGGACCCACTGAGCAACTGGAGGGCAGGGCAGAGGCTTGGCCCTCACCCCACCCCAACCAAGAGCCCTACTGCAGTGAGCAGAATGCTGCCTGATGACAAGATGAAGCTGGCTGCTCACCTGGTATGCTTCCTGCTGGGTGGGGACCCGCCCATGGTCGATCACCTGGGATGGCAGGAAATGGAACTGGATGTCTGGGTGAGGGACCCCAGGCTGGCTCCGGATGAACCCACCTGTTTCCAGATGGGCTGTGGCTCCATCCCCTGAGGATCAGAAGAGTGGGTCCAGGCATGGCAGACCACCCCGCCCCTCCTGGCCTCCGTTCTGGTGCCTGGACCCACATGCTCAACTCCGGCCTCTCTCCCTCAGGTGGGCTCACCCAACACCACGGTTTCAGTAGCCACCACATGCCAAGGGCCTTTTGGCTTTGCCCTCCCCATAGCGTCCTCCACCGCCAACCCGACTATGAGGCCTGATGGGGCCCGGCATCCCGAACTTTCCCAGCCCGGGCTCTACCTGACAGGCTGTTCTTTCATAGAAGGCCTAAGTCAGACATTCGAGCTGTCCCTGCCTCCTCCTCACCTCCCACCATCTGACCCTCAGAAAGCCTCACTGACTTTAGCTCCAAAATCTACTGGGATCCATGTACTTGGCAACACCCCCTACAACCTCCCGCAGCCCAGGCTGAGACCCCTCCTCACTGGTAGCCCCAGTGGCCTCCTTGCTGGTGCCCCGGCATACCCTCGTGATCGAGTCTCTTCCATCGCACCCCTGCTTCCTCCTCAACGTGCTATAGTCTCCCTGGTCCAACACATTCGTTCTTCAAACACCAGATCCTTAGACCCGGGGCCTTTGTACATACTCTCCCTAGCTCCCTGATATCCTCTGTCACCATTCTCTACTAACAACCCTGATCTTTTTAAAACTTAAGCATGTTTACATGGTTTCTTTCCGTCGATCCCACCAGAGTGTAAGCTCCCCCAGGGAACCCGCCTTACTGGCAGGGCACACAGTACGTGGCAAGTGCAGGAGAAACCCATGCTGAGTGTGATTTCACAGCACCGATTCCTGGCCTGGGGGCTGCTCTGGGACTCTGAAAACAAACCGAAACTGCTGAGAAACTGATGCCGACTGTGCCTTTTCTCCTGGCGCCTTGGACCCCAGATGGTGTCCAGCACAAGGCCATCCCTGTCTGTATGTAAGGAAGAGTGGCACCCAGGCTCAGGAGTCTCACCCTGGACAGGCCCTGGGCCACCGCATCTGGTCCTCACAACAGCCTGCCAGATAGGACTATGTATCCCCTTTTTGCAGACGGGAAAGCTGAGGCAAACGGCATAGCTAAGCTTTGGACGAGTGACGTGAGGCCACAGCCCTTGCTCAGCACCTTAGGAAGGAGGCTGTGCTGCCCTCCACTCCTTGGGTCCCAGAGCAGCACGCCCACCTGTGAACTTCCAGAGCCACTCTAGACCAATCCGGACCTTCCTCAAGGGCTTCTGCGCTGAATGGAGGGTGATGGGGAGGGTGCACGCCTGCTGGACGTAGATCTCCAGGTGGTCCTGAAGGTTCTGGCCAACTCCTGGAAGGCGAGGGGATGGTTAGGAAAAATAGCTTCCAAGGGGGGCTCAGCCTAGCTGGCCTCTCAGCTCCCCTGGTTGTGAACACGTCCCCCCACCCCAGCCAAGTATCTGCCAAGTCAGCTCCTGCTCAGCCCTCAGGTCCCCGCTTAAAGGTCACCTCCCGAGACGCCATCTCTACACTCCTGGCCAAGTCTCGTCCTCTCATGCTGCCCAAGCCATCTGCCCTTGTCACTCACTCCCAGGGCAGCCGCTGTACCAGTCCCGCTGCCCTCCTGCCACGCAGCACCCTCCCTGAGGGCAGGGCCCAGGCATCCAGCAGGCACTGCCCAGTGAGACTGACGGCCCCAACCGCACCCGTTGCCCGGGGAAGGAGGGAAACAGGCCTTGTCTTCCTGGGCACTGTGTGAGCTCATCCAAGCACAGTGGGGCACTGGGCAGGTCACAGTCACAGGCCAGCACTTTTACAAACCTCTTGTGATAAAGCCTCAATACACAAAAGGTCATTTCAGGGGGGCGGGGCTGGGTTATAAGAGAGATAAGAGGTCCTAATGGGCATTAAAGACAGTTTCTAAGATAAATTTGAAGCTTGGGATAATTGCCTTAACATGCTCTGAAGCACTGAGTTGGCTTCTTTAATGTCAGGGCTGCTGCTAGTCCTGAGGACAGAAAACACACAGGCCTGGACCCCTCTCACCGTTAGGGTACCCTGGTGACATACCCGAGCCTGGCCCAGCGGGCTTTCCCGGTGGAAGCTCGCTGCTGGAGGGTCATCACCTCTCAGTGGGACAGTAGGGCCGGGGAAGGGGAAAAAATAACACAAAGACTCGGGGTCCCTGGGGGGGTAGGGGTGTCCTGTGAGGCTCATGGGAAGAATTGGCCATTCTAAGGAATGCTGACTGCTGCCCCCTCCCCAACTCCATGCTGATGAACTACATTAAGCCGTTTTATTAGCAGAGGCCCCTTCTGAGGAGCAGCGGCAAAGGAACTCACCGGGAAGGTGGCATACCACCGGGACACCCAGTTTCCTGAGGTCATCTGCATTGCCGACACCCGAGAGCATGAGCAACTGCGGAGAGTTGATGGCGCCCCCGCTCAGAATCACCTCTTTGCCGGCATAAGCCTGGAAGAGGCAGAGGCATGCAGGTCACACTTCCTGAAAAGCCAGAAGGAAACCCAAGAGCATGGCCTTGGCATGACGTCCCCGAGTGGTGGGTGGGGACCCAGTTCCCAGGCCCCAGAGTAAGGAAGGGGATGCTTAGCCAGCCGCTCTATGAAGGGCGCTCCCAGGTGTGGGTGCGACACTGAGCACTTCACATGCTGATGCATTCTGCAACAGCCACGCTGTGACGGTGGTCGGAATGCAGAGCCCCAGACACTGCAACAAGCAGCTGCAGTAAAGAGAGCAGTGAGCCAGAACTTCATGTAGATGCAGAATGACCCTGACACACTGCTAAATGGAGAACAGCGTAGTCCTGGGGGCACCAGGTGGCTCAGTCAGTTAGGCATCTGGCTTTTGATTTTGGCTCAGGTCATGATCTCACAGTTCATGGGATCAAGCCTTGCATTGAGCTCTGCGCTGACAGCATGGAGCCTGTTTGGGATTCTCTCTTTCTCTCTCTCTCTCTCTCTCTCTCTCTCCTTCTGCCCCTCCCCCTAGTTGCACTCTTTCTCTCAAAAATGAATAAACATGAAAAAAAATAGTGTAGTGTTGAAATATGGAATATGATCACATTTAAGGTTTTTAAAGCCTTATTACAAACCTATCAATTCTGAAAAGGTGTGGAAGGCCCTGGGAGCATGCTCTGAGGTGGGGGAGGGGCAGACAAGCTCAGCTCACAGGGGCCACCATGGGCTCTCTGCAGGTGGCCGGAATGAGGGCCTCCTCACCTCCTCTGAGACCCTGGGGACAAGAGCCCGACTGCTGCCTACACTAAGCATGACCACCAGGGTGACTGCTCATTCCCTTCCCTCTCCACTGCCCCAGCCAGGAAGTAGCTCACTCACCCGGTGGCTCTGGCCATTCTTGATGTACTCCACACCCACCGCACGGGTGCCTTCAAACAGTACCCTGCTCACGAACGTCTGGGCCTCGGCGGTGAGGTTGGGGCGGCTCAGTGCCGGGTGCAGGTAAGCACAAGCTGTGCTCCAGCGCTGGCCTGGCAGACAGAGCAAGGAGATCAGGCGCAGCCCCTGCCTCTTGAGGAGGGGTCGTGGGTGGCACACTGGGCGCTGAAGCAAGATGGAATCTGCCCTTGCCCTGGCAGGACAAGCTCCGCCTCCAAAGTAGGGCTAAAACCAAAAGTCTCTGCGGCACTGAAATCCACATCCACCTGGGGGTGGAAAAACACCCTCCACTCTCAATAGAATGACCAAGAACAGCTAATACACGGGGGTGAGAACCCTGTAGAGGCAGTCAGGGGCCCCCATCAACCCAGGCCCTGCCTCTGTCCTGCTGCGTGCAGGGCACTTCCATGCTCCGTGCCTCAGTTTCCTCATCTGTAAGTCTCTGGTCAAAGAGCTGACTCCCCTCGACCACAGAGGCCAGAGGCCTAGAGGATGCCGGAGAGTCTCTGTCTCCAAGTCCTTTCTTACTGGCTGCGGGGTGTATTCTGTGCCCTGCAGGGGGCGTGAGACCTCCGTCATCTCAGCCTCATACTAGTCTCGGTGTATCCTCACTGTCCATGGTGGGGGCAGGAGGGATGGGGCTGTGATGGACAAACGGGGTAACCAGGGAGATGAGGGGTGGGATTGTGCTACCTTGATGGATGGTCATATCCATCCATCCGAAGCCTTCTTGCTGGAAGCCGTTCATGTCCTCGGTGAGGGGGTAGCCGGCCTGCTGCGCCGCCTCCAGGAAGGCGCGGTGCAGCGCGTGGTTGGTCTTGCCCCGGGACACGTGCAGCGGCCCGTCACCACCACGGTACCTGTTGGCGCCCAGTTCGTGGCTCTGCGCCTTGCGGAAGTAGGGCAGGCAGTGCTCGTAGTCCCAGCCGGCCGCGCCCTCCCGCTGCCAGCGGTTGTAGTCCTCTGCGTGCCCGCGGATGTAGACCATGGCGTTGAGCGATGACGAGCCGCCCCAGACCCGGCCGCGCGGCCAGTACAGCACGCGGCCGTCGAGGCCCGGCTGTGGCTCCGTGTGGTAGCACCAGTTGTACCTGTCATCGCACAGGTTGGCCACAAGGGCCGCGGGCATGTGGATCTTCCACGAGAGCCGCTTGCTCCCAGCGAGCACGTCCTTGGGCCCGGCCTCCAGCAGCAGCACACGCTTGTCCGCATCCTCGGTGAGCCGCCCGGCCAGCACGCAGCCCGCCGAGCCCGCACCCACCACCACGTGACTGTACTCGTCCCGCGTCCCGGAGCCCACGCTGGCCAGGGCGCGGACGCTGGGGGGCCGCTGCCACCCCAGGGCTCCCCATGCGCCCAGAGGGCCTCTCCTCCAGCCTCGTAGGACGCCCCACATGCTTCCTGCCCAAATCCTTGCCTCCACCGAAAGGAGTGGGATGATTCACCGTTCCTGAAACAGGAAAAGCAGCTTTAAATTTTTAACTCGACATGCACAAGGCAGAATCAGCCCAAAGCTGAGGCAGCCGCATCAGTGCCGCAAAGGTCCCCTCTAGGCTCGCCAAGTGCCCAGCTCAGGCTGGGGGGGGGGGGGGGGGGGGGGGGGGGGGGGGGGGGGGGGGGGGGGGGGGGGGGGGGGGGGGGGTAGGCCTGGCGGGCATATCCCTGTGCAGGGAACTAGGAGGGAGCAGAGGCAGACTCAGGGTATCAGCACTGTGAGGTCCTTGCCAGGACTGACGAGCACAGGGCTAGGGCACAGGAGAGAGGCTCCTCTCTGGGGAGGAGGGGTGGTCCGCTGAAAGGCCTCTCAGTGATGTGTACATGAACCTGCAGGCTGCGCAGGTGTCTATCTGCTGGAACGCAGGGGAGGGAAGGGCTTCCTAGGCTTGCACTCATTGCTCGCCCATGTAAGGCAGCTGCTGAGCCCCTACCCCGTGGCAGCCACCACTTCAACTCTAGCAGTACACGGAGAACAAGTCATCTGCCCTCAAAACTGATGGGCTGCCGCTCGGGAGACAGGAGACTTCAGCAACTGAAGGAAAGGCAGGGTGAGGGGCTGGAGGCTTTGAGCTCTGCAGCCTCTGACCTGAGGGCCATGGGGTGCCCTAGACGGCTTTTCAGCAGGTGATGGGGTCAGAGCTACAATCTTCAAAGCTCCCTCTGTAGAGTGCTGGGGTTCAAACAACGAGAAATGCCAGCAGCCTTCGGAGAGACCCTTCCCAACGATGCACAAATTAATTCCAACATGCCCAGTGCACAGAGGTGAGGAAGAACCAGGATATCCCACTCCGCTGGCCCAAGAACATCTGAGAAAGCCCCACCCATGAGATTCAGGCCCATGAGACCTGCCCAAGACTGACGCCACAACAGAGCTGAGGAGCCTCAAAGAGCCCCTGAGCCCTCCCTCTTCCCCCCTCCATCCATGAGCCTGCCCCAAGTAACAGCCACCCACCGCTGGAGGAGGGGTGAGAGGGAAGAATGTAGAGAGAGCGCCTGACCCCCATTTACTCAGGCACAGGAGAAAGAAGCCCCAGGCCGCCTCAAAGCCGGAACACTGAAGAGCCTTCCAGCACGCCAGGCCCCACAGCAGCGGGAGGTGACAGTGCCCACCACTCAACTCCCAGCAGTGGCCTCCTCGCCACACTACTGACCTGGCAGAATGCCGGCGTGTCCTCCTCTGGGCATTTACTTATCTACCTAGGTCATTACTGTCCTGTTACACATAAGGCCCAGCACTCAGTATGATGTTGAGAGACGCACACGAGGAGGAGCAGGGGCAGATGGCAGAGGAGGAGGGCCCTGAGCTCACCTCCTCCCACAGGCACAGGAGGGCAAGTACACAGCATGCAGCTCACTCTGAAAACCACCTGAAGACTGGCAGAACAGCTATTCCACAGCCAACGACATAAAGAGAAGGTCCTATCAAGACGGCAGGAGGGGCAGAGAAGTTGTCAGGAGCCAAACCCGGGCACAGCCGCCCCAAGTGGGGAGAATATCATCAGCACAGAGGTCCTTCCTGAGGAGCGAGGGGACCAAACCCCACACAGGCCATCCCCCATCCTGGGGATGTGCCCCGGGAAGATGAGCCCCTATAATGTCTGACTTTAAAAATCAGTGAGACTTAACTGCGGGAGAGCTGGAGGGCTATAGGAAACCAAGAGTCTGCTCTTTAAGGACCACAGTGCTCTATTACTCAGTCTGAGACCCAACACAGGAGCAGCAGTTTGAAAAGCACCTGGCTTAAATGTGAAGATATACTAATTTTACCACATCTGCTGAAAGGACAGGGATCTGCAGGAGATTTCTCCAGAGATGGAAGTGCTGGTGATGCCATTTTCTCGCCCTCCTTCAGCCTAGCTGGCCGGATGCTTACAAGGAGCCAGTTCTGATACTTCACCTACCTTGCTGCCATTGCTCACCCCCCTGCAGCATTCCCCCGTGGACCCACACCGCCCTACCCATTTGCCCCAGCAGGTGTCCCTCCAAAGCGGCTTCTGCCCCAGCACACCTGGCAGGCACCCCCGGCCGGGACTGGCACCCCTCCAAAGTGACGCCTGTCCTGGGGAAGCAGATAGCCAGCACCGCACACCAGCATGCCTGCAGTGGCTACAGCCAAACCATTGGGCCAGCCACACCAGACGTTCAGCCAGTCCTGCCCCTCATTACACCACAGAAGTTGTGGCCCAGTCACAATAGGAGGTGCAAGCAGCTCGCAGAGGGACACCACTTGCGTGCCTGGTTCTGGTGACCAGGGGAGACTGCACTTGTGCACAAGACCACTGCTTTCAAGACTGGGAGACACAGCTACCCTACCTAATGCACAGAGACAAACACAGAGAGTCAGACAGAATGAGGACACAGAAGAGTATGTTCCAAACAAAAGATGACGACAGGGCCTTGGAAAAAGAACTAAACAAAGTGGAGACAGGCAAACTACCTGCTAAAGAATTCGCAGTAATAGCCATAAGGATGTTCACTGGACTAGCAAGAAGAGTGGAGGAGCTCAGAGAGAACAAGGAGACGAAATATAAATCAGAATGGACTAAAAATAACAACAATATGATAGAGGAAAGCGGCAGCAGATTAGAGGATGCAAAGGAACAGATCAGCAATCCCGGACACAGGGTAGTGGAAAGCACCCAAGGTGAATAGCAAAAAGAAAAAGAATGTTTAATGAGGATGGATTAAGGGACCTCTGAGACAACATCAAGTGTACTAACATTCACATTAAAGGGGTCCCAGAAAGAGAAAAGAGAGAGAGGGCACGCACGAGAGAGAGACAGAGAGGAATGGGGCAGAAAACTTACTTGAAGAAATAATAGCTGAAAGCTTCCCTAACCTGGGGATGAAAACAGGCATCCAGGTTCAGGAAACACAAAAAGCCCCTAACACGATGGACACAAGAGATCCACAAAAAGGCACATGGTAATTAAAATGGCAGAAATTACAGAGAACCTTAAAAGCAGGAAGAGAAAAGCAAATAGCTACCTATAAGGAACCCCCCCATAAGGCTATCACCAGACTTTTCAGCAGAAACTTTGCAGAAAAGAAGGGACCGACATGATATATTCAAAGTGCTGAAAGGAAAAGCCTACAACCAAGAATACTTTATCTGGCAAAATTATTGTTTAGAATTAAAGGAGAGAGTGAGTTTTTCAGACCTACAAAAGTTGAAAATGTTGATCACCACTAAACCAATCTTATGAGAAATGTCAAAGGGATCTCTTTAAAAGGAAAAGAAAAAGATCATAATTGACAAAAGTAGTAAAATCAATTATACCTACAAAAATTAGTTAAGGGATACAAAAATAAAAACATATAAACTATGTCACATACATTAAAACGTGGACGAGGGGAGAATATGTGCAAACTTAAGTGACCAACTGAATATAGACTGTTACATACTTAGGATATCATATATGAGTCTTATAGTAACTACAAACCAAAAATGTATAATAAGTACACAAAAATAAAGACAAAAAAACCAAAGTGTAACACTAAAAAAAAGTCACCAAATCACAAGGGAAGAGAGCAAGAGAAGAAAGGAATATAGAACAACTACAGAAACACCAAAAACAATTTACAAAATGGTAATAAGTATATACCTACCAATAATTACTTTATTTTTTATTTAAAAAATATTTTCTAATCTTCATTTATTTTTGAGACAGAGAAAGAGACAGAATGTGAACAGGGGAGGAGCGGAGAGAGGGAGACACAGAATCTGAAGCAGCTTCAGGCTCTGGAGCCCGACCCAGGGTTCAAACTCACAGAACTCACAAGATCACAACCTGAGCTGAAATCAGACATTTAACTGACTGAGCTACCCAGGCACCCCTATCAATAATTACTTTAAATGTAAATGGATAAATGCTTCAATCAAAAGACACAGGATGAATGAATACAAAAATAAGACCCATCTATATACTATCTATAGAAGACTCACTTGAGACCTAAAGCCACATAGACACATGCAGATTGAAACTGAAGAGGTAGAAAAAGATATTCCATGAGAATGGAAGCAAAGCAAAACAAAACAAACACTAGGACAGCAATACTTATATCAGACAAAGTAGACTTTAAAACAAAGACGGGAGGGGAAGGGGGTGCCTGGGTGGCTCAGTTGGTTAAGCGTCTGACTTCGGCTCAGGTCATGATCTCACAGCCAGTGGGTTCAAGCCCTGCATTAGGCTCTGTGTCAAAAGCATAAAGCCTGCTTGAGATTCTCTGTCTCCCTCTCTCTTTGCCCCTCCTCCTCACGCTCTCTCTCTTTCTAAAATAAACAAACATTAAAAGAAAGACTGTAACAAAAGATACATAATGATAAAGGGATCAATCCAACTAAATATAACAATTGCAAATATCTGTACACCCAACATACAAGGACCTAAACATATGAAACAAATATTAGCAGAGTTACAGGGAGAAATTGAGAGTAATACAACAATAGTACAGGACTTTAAAATCCTACCTCAACAACAGATAGATCATCCATGCAAAAAATCAATAAGGAAACTGTAGTTTTGAATGGTAATTTAGACCAGATAGACTTAACAGATATATACAGAACATTCCATCCCAAAACAACAGAATATACATTCTTTTCAAGCACACATGTAATAGTTCTCTGAGATAGTTCTCATGTTAGGCCAAAATACAAGTTTCAATAAATCAATAAATTGAAAAAGAATGAAATCGTATCAAGCATCTTTTCCAACTATGATGGTATAAAAGTAGAAATCAATTACTAGAAAAAACACAAACACATGGAAGCTACAAACAACCAATAGGTCAATGAAGAAATAAAGGAGGAAATTTAAAAATACCTGGAGACAAATGAAATTCTAAAACACAATGGTTCAAAAGCTTTGGGACTTAGCAAAAGTAGTTCTAAGAGAGAAATTTATAGTGATACAGTCCTACCTCAAGAAACCAACGAAAACCTCAAACAAT